CCCCCGTCTTTTTTTTGGGCGGGGGGGGGTGTGTGTGCTGGAAATCCAAGTCCAGAAGAGCCCAGGGAGAAAAGCCGGCCGATGGGACCCCGGGGGTGTGGGGCCAGGCTCCGGGGACTAAGGGAGCCCCCCCCCACTCCTCCCCCCCCCCCGCATTCCCTCTCCGCAGGGGAGCTGAGTGAGAAGCAGAAGGCGGAGCTGGAGGAGAAGAGGGGCCTCGTGCAGAGCCAGGCCCGAGAACTCGGCCTCCTGCGGGAGAAGCTGTCGGAGTCCTCCAGGATGCTGGGCCAGAGGGAGAACCACCTCCAAGCCACCACCGAGGAGCTGAAGTGAGGGGCCTCCCAGAGATCCTAGCCACCCTGTCCCGCCCCCCCCCCACACTGCCCCCGAGGCTTTGGGGCTGCAGGCGGCTTCTCTCCTACACTGGCAGTCCTCCACTTAACAATGGTTCGTTTAGCGGCCCTTTGAAGGCCCTGGAAAAAGGGGGACTTCCGCCCTTAGGGCCGCTGCAGCTTCCCCCGCCTGAGCAAAACGGGGAGGGGGAGGGGGAGGGGCCTCCGGGAGGGTCTCCTGCGCTTCCCTCCGTCACCGCTGCCTCCTCTGCCGCAGGAGGGCCCGGGAGAAGGCGAAGGAGCTGCTGGAGGAGGCGAAGGCCGCCCAGAGGGCCAGGCTTCTGCAGCACAAGGGCGTGCAGACTGCGGGGGCCCTGCAGGACCAGCCCCACCCGGCTGCCAAGGCAAGGGGGGAAGGGGCTGACGGGGGTTCTCCCTGCCCAGCCAATGTTTCCCTCTCACCTTTATGCCAGCCTCAAGTTTTCTCCTGGCTGATTGTGGCTCTAATGGCTAAGGAGGGTCTCCCAAGGCAGCTTGTGGGAGGGAAAAGAGCAACATGTGGCTGCTCTACCTCCCCCGAACCGCCCAAGGCACCCCTCTTCTCCCTTCACAAGGTGGTTGGGGGAGGGGAGGGGCTTCTCACAGAGGCCCTTTCTCAGCCCCAGGAAGCATCCAACGGGCCCCTCTGGCCGGGGAGCCTCTGGTGGCCTGGGGGAGCTGCAGGAGCCCTGCAGCCAGCTTGCCCGAAGGAGCGCCCACTCCCCCCCCCTGCCTTGTGCCTCCCGGCTCGAGCAGGGCGTGCTGAGGGTCGGTGGGGGTGTCTCTGTGCTTCCAGGAGCCCCCCCTCTTGTCCCTGGCCGACCTGGGGGCCCGGTGCAAAGGCTCCCGCCACGAGGAGGTCATCCATCGGCAGAAGGAGACCCTGGCCGAGCTGCGCAAGAAGCTCCGGAAACTGGAGAAGGGTGAGTCGGGGGCTTGGCTGGTGCTGCTCCCCTCTTTTGAGATGCAGCCGAGGCTTTCTTTTGGGTGGGGGGCTGCCCAGGATGGCACGCAAGGAAACAGGCAGGCAGGAGCTGCCCTTAGGCCCCACTTGAAGACTTCAACTCCCAGAATTCCTCAGCCGGCTGAGTCTCCAAGGGGCCACGTGGGGAAAAGCGACTTTTCAGTGAATTTTCTCCCCGCTCACCTCGGCTACTGCAGTACGGAGTCTACTTTTGGGGAGGGGGGCTCCATCCTCACTCCAAGTGCTTTCAGAGCAATACAAGGGTGCAGCCGCCCCACTCTCCCCCAGGGGAGACCCCTGGCTGCTTGGCCTCCCGCTTGGCCCTTCCTTGGGTTCTTCCGGTCTGAACGGACCGGTCTTTCCCAAAGGCTCAGAGTGGGGGAGCTCGGCCAACGCCAGCCCTGAGCCCCGAAGGGCCCTCCCGTTCGGACACGGCGGTGGGACCGTGAGGAAGATGGCGGGAAGGCCTCGGCCCGGCTCTCCCCTTCAGCCACAGCCTTCCTCGCCTCCACCGTGGCCCCCTCTTCCCTCCTGCAGAGGCCAGAAGCTCGGAGCCACTCCTGGTCGTGCAGAGAGGGCCGGCAGAGAAGCCAGAGCAGGCGAGGGAGAAGGACCCGGTGGCGGTGCTGACGGTGGCCATGGGTGCCCACCAGGTAATCTGAGCGCCCGGGGGGAGGCGTCCTGGGGCTGGGCTCCTTCCCCAGACGGGCAGGGCTGCAGGCGGGAGTGCCCGGGGGCCGTGCTTCAGCAGCTCTCGCTCTCTTTCCTCCCTTGGAGCCTCCAGCCGGGCCCTCCAGCTTCGACCCCAACGAGGCCACTGAGAGGAACGCCAGGCTGGAGATGGCGGAGGCGCTGGACCTCAGCGAGAACCTGGTAAGGAAGAAAGGGGGGGGGCTGCTGGTGTGGGCCCCCCCAGCGTCCGCGGGCCTCGCAGGCTCCGTGCGCCAGGCAGGCCCTTCCGGGGACTCACCCCTCCTCCCTCCCCTCCTCCCTCCCCCAGTACCTCAGCCTCGTGCGGGGCCTCTCCAGCCTGATGGACGTGGAGCAGCTGATGGGCTTGCGGACGCTCAAGCACCTGCCCCAGGCCGAGCGGCAGAAGGTGGGCCTGCTGCGCCACAAGGACCTGGACCTGCTGCTGGACAGGATCGGGAAGCTGAAGAGCCGCCTGGAGAGGAAGGAGTCCCTGCTGAAGGAGTACGAGGAGGAGGAGCAGGAGCAGGGGGGCTCCGGGCCCTTCAGGTACCGGCCCTGGAAGGAGGAGGGTGTGGGGGGGAGGTTTCTCTGGGGGGGAGCTCAGCCCCTCCCTCTGGCTGCACGCAGGGGCAAGAGGCACAGCCTGCAGGCCTGCCAGTCGGAGGTGGCCAGGCTGTCCGACCAGGTGCACCGGGACACGGAGGAGAAGGCGCTGCTGAAGGAGGCGCTGGAGAGGATGCGGCTGCAGCTGAGCAAGGAGAAGAGGCTGAACAAGGCCCTCAAGAGGCCCAAGGTAGTGGGGGCCACTTGGGACTGGTGGAAGCGACAATAAACAAGGCTTGTGTGCCACTGGGGCCCCGTGCCTGTCTCCCCCCCCCCCCCGGGAAGGGCTGGGCGGAGGGGGCGAGGTGGGCGTCAAACCTGAAGGCTGGCAGCCATTGAGGGATGACTCTCGGGGTCTGAGATGCCAGGTGGGGAGGCTGGGTGGGCAGCAACCCCTCCCCAATTGGAGGCAGGAGAAGAGCCCCCGTCCCCCTCGAAGGAGGCGAGACGGTTGGTGCCTGAAGCGGCTTCTGGAGCCCTGCGGTTGCCCTGCTGCCTCCAAAAGCTCTGGCGGCATTAACCCCCCCCCCCCCCCCC